GCAGAGACATGGACAGAGCTGGAGACCATTTTCCTTAGCAAACTAACACAAGAACAAAAAAATAAATATTATGTGTTCTCATTTACAAGTAGGAGCTAAATGATGAAAACACATGAACACATAAAGAGGAACAACACACCCTGGGGCCTACCAGAGTGCAGAGGGTAGGAGGAGGGAGAGAATCAGGAAAAATAATTAACGGACGCTAGGCCTAATACTTGGGTGATAAAACAATCTGTACAACAAACCCCCATGAAACACGTTGACCTATATAACAAATCTGTACATTCTGAACAAATACCCCTGAACTTAAAAGTTTTTTTTAAAAAGGAGTTGGGCTGGGTGTGATGGCTCACACCCGTAATCCCAGCTCTTTGCTAGGCTGAGGCGTGCAGATCACTTGAGGTCAGGAGTTCAAGACCAGCCTGATCAACATAGCAAAACCTCATCTCTCCTAATAATACAAAAATAGCCGGGCATGGTGACACATGTCCATAGTTTCAGCTACTCAGGAGGCTGAGGCAGGAGAATCACTTGAGTCCAGGAGGCGGAGGTTGCAGTGAGCCAATATCATGCCACCGCACTCCAGCCTAAGTCATAGAGCAAGACTCAGTCTCAAAAAAAAAAGAAGTTTGGTATTTATATTTAATAGCTTGACTTTTGTCATTAGCCATACACTATAGTATGCTTCATCAAGTTATTCATTAAAATTACTGGATAATACATCAACATCTAAGAAAGAAAAATATATTGCAAACATTTTCTAGCCTATTTTTTCCATTCTACATATATGATAAATTTGGTAGCTAAATTCCAGCTTCAGTTGAATTTTAGCATTTGATTATAGAGTTTATGTTAATAACATTTATGGATCAGGCACAATGGCTCACACTTGAAATCCCAGCACTTTAGGAGGCTAATGCAGGAGGATCACTTGAGGCCAGGAGTTTGCTACAAACCTGGGCAACATATAGAGACACCATCTCTACAAAAGAATTTTTAAAAATCAGCCAAGCATGATGTTATATGTTTGTAGTCCTATGTAGTCCTAGCAACTTGGTAGGCTGAGGCAGGAGGATTGCATAAGCCTAGGAGTTTCAAGGCTGCAGTAAGCTATGGTCGTACTACTGTACTCCATTCTGGGCAGCAGCAAGACCCTGTCCCTTAAAAAATAAATAAATAAATTCGCCAGGCACGGTGGCTCACACCTGTAATCCCAGCACTCTGGGAGGCCGAGGTGGGCAGATCACCTGAGGTCAGGAGTTCGAGACCAGCCTGCCATAAACGTGGTGAAACCCCATCTCTACTAAAAATACAAAAAATTAGCTAGACATGGTGGCAGGAGCCTCTACTTGGGAGGCTGAGGCAGGAGAATCACTTGAGCCTGGGAGACAGGTTGCAGTGAGCTGAGATTGTGCCACTGCACTCCAGCCTGGGCAACCAGACTGAAATTCTATCTAAAAAAAAATTATGTTCAATGTTAAAAATCCTCTCCCTTCTCACAAATTTGTTTTAAAATACATTTATCTCTTCTTCAAGCAGTACTATTATTGGGAGTTAATCACAGAGATTGGCAAACTTTCTGTAAAGGGTCAGGTGGTAAATATTTTAGGCCTTTTGAGTCATGGTCTTTTGAGTCTCTACTCAACTCTGCTATTGTATGAAAACAACCATCAACAATAGAAATAAAAAATAACCATAGACAATACCTAAATAAATAGGCATGACTATGTTAAATAAAGTTTTATTTATAGACACTGAAATTTAAATTTTATCTAATTTTCATGTATGTAAATTCATTATATTTATATATGAATATATGTATAAACATATATATAGTAAGTAAATAGTGAATATATACCTCTGAGGAAAAAATACGACTGAGAGATTGGTCCTTAATACAAAATAAAAGATGTGTATAATTTTCACACACTTGGGTGATTCAAGCATGAGCTGAATTTCAAATGACATTCTTGACTCCTTAGTAGACTAAAATTTTATTTCCTTTTCCTGGCCTTTTGAAAAATTGTAGAAAATTAGTTAAAACCATTTAAAAATGTAAGAAATGTTCTTGGCTTGCAAGCCATCCATAGTTTGCTAACCTGTGGTTAATCAGAACATTTTTGAAGGTGGAAACACAAACCAGTTATTAAGGTCTGTGCATTCTAGAGTAACTATAAGGTGTCCTTGGTGGAAGGACAAAGGGACATGTACTTTAACTATATATAGCTGCTATTTTTTGTTTTGCTAATTATGTCCTAGAGAATATACATTCCCTAATCTTGTCTTTGTAAATATCCTTATATAATTTCCTCAAATTTGTTTGTATTTTAAAACTACACCTAAATGAAAATTACTGTCATCTTTTTCATAGTGCATTTGATTATGACACAGAAAATATGAACTCTGAAGATATTTATAGCTCTCTTAGAGGTGTTACTGAAGCAATCCAGAATTTCAGCTTCCGTAGCCAAGAAGACATGAATGAGCCATTGAAAAGGGATTCTAAAAAAGATGATGGCGATTCAGTGAGTATTTTAATATCCTTACTTTGCAGACTATTTCATTGTTCATTAAGAATTTTTTAAATTAAAAGTTGGTTTCTGTCATTTTTGAATATACTTATTTGGGGATCAGTCACTCTACAGGTATTTACTGAGTGTCTGCCACATAGCAGGCACTGTTTGAGGCATTAGATTTATATGACAAAATCACTGCCTTAAAATTCCTTTTAGATTTTCATAGAGATGAGTATTATAGAGTTTTAAGATAGAATGTGCTTTCGAGGAAAGTGAGTCTATTTTAGATTTTGTGGTCCGAGAAGAGCTCTCTCCAAAGGTAGCATTTGCATTGAAACCTAAATAAAGTCACATAAAATCCAGAGGAGAATTCCATGAGAGAATTAGCAAATCTTAAGTCATTTAGATGGGAACAAGCTTTGTACAATTGAGGACTAGGAAGAAAACCAGTGTAGTTGGAGCGTTATGAGAGGAAAAGGGGAGTGGAACATGGGCCAGATCACAATGAGTCTTGTAAGAATACCTAAGGAGTTGAGAATTTTTTTTTCTCGTTAGGTGTAGTGATGGTAATTTGTATCATCAGTTTATGTGGCTCCAGATAAGAATGTGTTTTGTTTTGTTTTTTTAGTTAATGTGTTTATTTTTTTTAACATGCAAGTAACTGGCTCTCAAAGTATTTTTAAAATCACAAGACATTACACTGAAGTAAGAATGTTGTAACCTACAAATTCTTATATATTTAATATTATTGACATATTTGAATATTGTTTAGTTTATTCCTTCTGCTATTATACACAGAGTGGTTTTTTACTTCGCTGCTTCTTAGACTTTTCTCTGACAGCTTAGACTTTTCACAAAATGAGACATCCCACCAGTTCCTGTGGAATTCATTGTTTCTCAGTGTTTGCAAAGTTGCAGAACATTGTAGTGCTTCAGCACATCTCTAAAGGGCTCCTTCCTCTGCCTTCCTGCCATCTTTCTTGCTGTTGTTTTTCTCACAGTGCCTATCTGGCAGAGCTAAATTGTGGGCCTAGTAAGCTGGCTGCCGAAACCCAGCTTACCACTGATATTTGAGCTTCCCTACCCTTAAAGGCTGCATGTGGTAGCAGTAACAGATTAGTAAGAATCACTGCTTCATTGAGACTCAGTTTGGTTTTGTTTTCAGACACAGCATGGTACAGGGTAGGGAACTCAAATTGTGAATTTTGACAGAGTGAGTTCAAATCCCAGTTCCAGGTAGTTATTAGCTAATGAGGTTATCACCTTTAAGCTTCGATGTCTTCATTAAGAAAACAGGGATATCACTGCATACCTTAAAAGTTCTTGTGAGTGTAGTAAGTCATATGACTCTTTTCAGCTCAGACCTCTTTTCCTGAGTTCCACATTCACATTCAGCTGCCTGTTTGAATTCCTGGTCTTCTCCCCTAAAGCTGATCTTCCCTATCTTAGTTGATGGCAACACTAGTTGCCTAGCCAAAAACCATGGACAAGAGTTGTTGTTGAGTCCTCTATTTTTCTCATCCTCCATACCAAATCTGTCAGGAAATCTGTTGGCTCCCCCTGCAGAATGTATCCAGAATTCAGCCTATTCTCACCACTGCCTTTCTGGTTTGAACCATCATCTTCACCAGTTCTCTCACCTGGATTATTAAAATTTGGCCTCCTTGATTATGCCCCTGACCTCCTACTATTCTCACTCTCACTCAACTCTATAGGAGGCCCTTGTCTCAGAGTCAAAACCACAGTCTATACAATAGGCTTTTTTTCTGTTACCTCTCTGGCCTCATCTCCTACTAGTTTCCTCCTTGTTCACTCTGCTTCTGCCACACTGGCCTCCTTGCTGTCCCTTGAACTTACTAGGCATGTTCCTTCCTCAGGATCTGTGTATTGGCTCTTTTCTCTAACTGAAACATTCTACCTCCAGATAGCCCCTTGACTAATTCCCTCACTTCCTTCAAGTGTTTACTCAAATGGCTTCACAGTGAACCCTACTCAACCTGTTTAATGTGTGAACTCCATCCTCCCACTTCAGCATTTATGATTCCTTCTTCTAACATACCATATACTTTATTCATTTATTAAGTTTTTTTTATTATCTGTCCCTCCATTAAATATAAACTCCATTGGAGTAGACATCTTTCTCTCTTTTGGTCACTATTGTATTTCCCAGTGCCATGAACAATGCCAGGCATATAATAGGTGCATAGTAAATATTTTAAGAATATTTGTAAGGTGCCTAGCAAATGGCTTGGCGCATAGTTGCCCAGTGGAAGGTGGTGATGCGGATACTCGTGGCAGTAATTACTTTGATACCAGTATTTGTATCAGTATATATATTCATATTTTGGTAAGTTCAGTAATGTGCCCAAATCCTTTTGTCATTCCTCCAAGAGTTATGCAGGCCTTTTAAGCCTTTCTTTTCTTTTTCTTTTTTCCTTAAAACAAGCCTTTTTAAATGTGATTTTATTATGCTTTGTTGACATACCATCGTATGATATACCATTACCTTATTAATGGAATCTGGCAGTTTGTAGTGCTGTGTTGCTTATGAAAGTTCTTTTTTATCTTTAACTGACATGGAGAAGCTGCTGGTAATCACACTGTATACATTGTCTGATCAAGTCATTGGCAAGGGAACTCTAATAATCATTAGAGGCAGCATTCTTTTACAGTTCTTATTTGCCTTCACAGTTGTAGTTTAAGCTTTGACATCTGGAATATGTTTTAACTCATAATGTTGATTGCCGTTACTTAAATTTTTTAGCTGGTTATTGTTATCTTTTTAAAATTGTCTTTTAAGCAGTAGAGAAATATCTTTTTAGAATGTTAAATAGATATAAATAGATACTTAAAATGAGTTAATTTGCTATGCCGTCCCCTTCCCATTGATAGATATGTGGTGGTCCTGGGATGTCTGACCCAAGAGCAGGAGGTGATACTACTGACTCAAGCCAAACAGCTCTTGATAATAAAGCTTCATTGCTCCATTCGATGCCTACTCACTCCTCTCCACGCTCTCGAGACTATAATCCATATAACTACTCAGATAGCATCAGTCCCTTCAACAAGTCTGCCCTCAAGGAAGCCATGTTTGATGATGATGCTGACCAGTTTCCTGACGGTATGTTCTGGGTCACTCTGCTACTGTCTGTTTTGGAGAACCTGGTAATCGATGAAGTAAAAGGAACGCATATGCTCTTTTATTATAACTCCCAAAAAGTAAGGATTTTTAGAATAAGAATGTTTTCTCCCATCTTCTAGGAACTCATCTCTGGTGGTTTGGTTGTTTTCTTCCTCTGAATGAGAAACAGGATAGTCATCTTGATGATCATGCTGAAAATCAAGAAAGCCTTAGTTACCTCCCAGAAATAACTAAAACCAGTTGTAGCTTATAAATGTGCTTCATCTCTAGAAACAATTTATTTGGTCATTCATATTAATAAAATACATTTCAAGAATGAAATATGAAGAAAGTTACCATAAGGATTTGGAGTTGGGTGAAATGGGCTTAGTTCTAAGCTCTAACGCGTACTGAGCTGCATAGCCTGGCAAGATGGTTAACTTTCCTGAATCTCAGTTATCACGTCCAAAAGAGGATGATGACGATTATGCTACCTGTCCTAATCCCAGTGTAGAGTAAGATGCAGGTAAGTTATATAAAAACTGATGATAAAGCACAAAACACTACAAATGTTTTAGTGTTTTGTTTAAGAGACTGGTATCACTCTGTCACCCAATCTGGAGTGCAGCTGCTCAATCATAGCTCACTGCAGCCTTGTCCTCGTAGGCTCAAGCGATCCTGCCACCTCAGCCTCCTGAGTAGCTGGGACTACGGACCACCATACTCAGCTAATTTTACTTTATTTAATAAATTTTCTATAGAGATGTTGCCTAGGCTAGTTTCAAGCTCCTGACCACAAGTGATCCTCCCACCTCAGCCTCTCAAAGTGCTGGAATTATAGGTATGAGCCCGTTATTTTTAATAGTAAGAAAATGTACATTTTATTTTCTTAATTAATACTTTGTGTCTTTAAGATTCTAGTACTATGTAGTAATATATAACCATACATAAATAAACTTGAAAGCCTTTCTCTCAACACTATCCCATGAGGCTGTATTCAGGTTTTGCTTTATTCACATAATGTTGTTGTCAATGAGCATATTTCTGCGTGAACCTTTATGCCCATAAATAATTCTTTTTGTGTGTATCAAGAATCTTAAGAACAATCAATGGTCATGCACAGTGGCTCATGCCTGTAATTTCAGCACTTTGAGAGGCCAGAGTGAGACCCTGTCTCAAAAAAAAAAAAAAAAACACACATTGAGATACCATCTCACACCAGTTAGAATGATCATTAAAAAATCTGGAGACAACAGATGCTGGAGAGGATGTGGAAAAATAGGAACGCTTTTACACTGTTGGTGGGAGTGTAAATTAGTTCAACCATTGTGGAAGACAGTGTGCCAATTCCTCAAGGATCTAGAAATAGAAATACCATTTGGCCCAGCAATCGCATTACTGGGTATGGTATATACCCAAAGGGTTGTAAATCGTTCTGTTATAAAGACACATGTACCTGTATGTTCACTGCAGCACTGTTTACAATAACAAAGACTTGGAACCAACCCAAATGCCCATTAGTGATAGATTGGATAAAGAAAATGTGGCACATATGCACCATGGAATATTACGAAGCCATAAAAAAGAATGAGTTCATGTCCTTTGCAGGGACATGGATGAAGCTGGAAACTATCATTTTCAGCAAACTGACGTAAGAACAGAAAACCAAACGCTGCATGTTCTCACTCATAAGTGGGTACTGAACAATGAGAACATATGGACACAGGGAAGGGAACATTACACACCAGGGCCTGTTGAGGGGTTGGGGAGCTAGGGGAGGAATAGCAGGGGGTGGGGGGATTAGGGAGGGATAACTTTAGAAGAAATGCCTAATGTAGGTGACGGGGGGATGGAGGCAGCAAACCACCATGGCATATGTATACCTATGTAACAATCTGCATGATCTGGACATGTACCCCAGAACTTAAAGTATAATAACAAATTTTTTAAAAAAAAAGAACAATCAAGGTAATTCACTCTTAAGAGATTTCTAGAGATGGAATTGCTTACTTAAAGGAGAGGTGAATTTAAAGTTTGAGACTTATTACCTATTTACATCTCAAAATACTTGGCTAGTTTAAGTAATGCTGATTTTCTCACCAACACAGAATGTTTAAAAATTTTTGTGGGCCAGGCGCGGTGGCTCAAGCCTGTAATCCCAGCACTTTGGGAGGCCGAGGCGGGTGGATCACGAGGTCAAGAGATCGAGACCATCCTGGTCAACATGGTGAAACCCCATCTCTACTAAAAATACAAAAAATTAGCTGGGCATGGTGGCACGTGCCTGTAATGCCAGCTACTCAGGAGGCTGAGGCAGGAGAATTGCCTGAACCCAGGAGGCGGAGGTTGCGGTGAGCCGAGATCGCGCCATTGCACTCCAGCCTGGGTAACAAGAGCGAAACTCCGTCTCAAAAAAAAAAAAAAAAAAATGTGTGATTGTGATGGAATGTGCATTTCCTTGATTATTAGATATTGAGTAATTACATATTAGAAATCTTTTAAAATTTTTATTAACGAGAAATAGATTCATTTGTAGTTATTTGATTAGTAGGGAAGTTGAGGAGGGTTTTTATTACCTTCACTTTAATGTATCACAAATATCAAAAAGCCAAAATTATGACAGTTTACTAAATTTAAATTGCATAAGGATCTAGAAAATTGCCACAATTACAGAGTTTGATGTGTTTTAATCTGTCACAAATGGTTGGCTGTCTTGTTGAGGTTTAGTCATGACAGTGGTGTAACATGAGTGAATAAATTGAACATAGCATGAAAGTATCCACTAAACACTATGTAGTATCAACAGCCTGGTAAATTGAGACTTAGCTTCAGTAGCATTAATTATTTAAAAATCATTTATGCACATGAGTCACAAACTGTCAGAATAAATGTCAGCTGACATTTCTTGCCTCAATTGTACTATATATATATTTATATATATTTATTTAATCTTAAAATTGTCAAGAGCATAAAAATTGGGGGTACAGTACAAAGAACTAACAAAGACATTCTACTGCATAACAACAAAATAGTCATCAAAATCAAGAAATTATGGCCGGGCACTGTAATCGCCTGTAATCCCAACACTTTGGGAGGCCAAGGCAGGCGGATCATGAGGTCAAGAGATTGAGACCAGCCTGACCAACATGGTCAAACCCCATTTCTACTAAAAATACAAAAATTAGCTGGGTGTGGTGGCACATGCCTGTAATCCCAGATACTCGGGATGCGGAGGCACAAGAATTGCTTGAACCCAGGAGGTGGAGGTTTCAGTGAGCCGACATTGTGCCACTGCACTCTGGCCTGGTGATGGAGCAAGACTCCATCTCAAAAAGTGGTGGCTTATGCTTGTAATCCCAGCACTTTGGGAGGCCAAGGCGGGTGGATCATGAAGTCAAGAGATTGAGACCATGCTGGCCAACACGGTGAAACCTTGTCTCTACTAAAAATACAAAAATTAGCTGGGCGTGGTGGCACATACCTGTAATTCCAGCTACTCAGGAGGCTGAGGCAGGAGAATACCTTGAACCAGGGAGTTGGAGGTTGCAGTGAGCCCAGATCATGCCACTGTACTCCAGCCTGGCGACAGAGTGAGACTCCATCTCAAAAAGAAAAAAAAAAGGTAAATTAGCCAGTGTCGGTAGTCCCAGCTACTCAGGAGGCTGAGCTGAAGAATCTTTTGAGGCTTGGAGTTCAAGGCTTCAGTACACTATGATGATGCCTGTGAATAGTCCTGCACTAAAGCCTGGACAAAAAAATTAGACCCTGTCTCTAAAAAAGTAATTACCAAAAAAATTTTTTTCTTTTCTGACCCCCCCCAACCCACAGAATTTTTTAAAAAGTTTTTTAAATCAGGAAATTATCATTGGTACATTAATAACCACCTAATCCTTAAACCCCATTAGAATTTTGCCAGTTGTCCCAGTATTATCTTTATCTTTTTTTCCTTTTTTTTCTGTGTTAAAATACACATAAAATTCACTGTCTTAAGCATTTTATATATACAGTTTGGTTGTATTAAGTACATTCATACTGTTGCATAGCCATCATGACCATTCATCTCACATAACTCTTTTCAGGTTGTAGAACTGAAACTCTATACCCATTAAATAATAACTCCCCAGTTCCACCCTGACTCCAGTCCCTGGCAACTACCATTCTCCTGTCTGTTTCTCTGATTTTTGTCTGCTTTTAAGTACCCTGTATAAGTGGAATCATACGTTACTCATCTTTTTGTGACTGGCTTATTTCATTTAGCATAATGTCCTCAAGGTTGATTAGTGTTGTAGCATATGACAGAATTTCCTTCCTTTGTAAGGCTGAATAATATTCCATTGTGTGTACATGCCACATTTGCTTATCCATTCATTC